TTAGAACGGAGCTGTCCGGCTTGCCCAGCACACCGGAGGCATACTGCCCTCTCGCAGGCGGATATACGCGCTATGTCCACTGTACAGTCTGTTATACATTCAGGTCGTAAGGTACATGCTTTCTCTGGCGTGATCGTCATGACGGTAGCATCATGTAGCATCTGTCTCCATCCACAACTGAGTACTGCCCAGGCAGCGGGCGCAAGCAACGGCCCTCATAGCGTGTAGCGGTACCCACTCCACTCGTCGCCCTTGTCGCGCTTCGCGTCCGCGACGCTGTCGAACGTCCCGTTGCACGCAAGCTCCGTCCGGTGCTCGTTCACGCCCTTGATGATCTCGTCCCGCTCGCCCCGCTCTCGCCGCGCGTTCTCTCGCTTCAGGTAGAGGTAGTAGATCGTCGACATCACGAGCCCAATGCCGATGTACATCAGCACGATCCCGTGTCCGAGGGAGTACCAAGGCGCGTCTCGGGCTCGGTACTTGGAGGTAAGCGGTTTAGGTAAGTCCCCAGCCTGAAAATCTTCGAAGAAAGGACGTACGACGTTCGAGGAGACCGCGCCGTTGATGTTGCCGAACCCGATGACCATCGCGATCGACACGCTCCGCTTGTACGAGCCCTCGACGTTATTCGACACCCATGCGATAATGTTCGGAATCGTAGGGTAGATACCGCACGCAGCGAGGTACACCGCAACATAAGACAAAGCAGCATTCCTCGAGACAATCAGGATGATGTATCCCGCTGCTCCAACCGAAAGACACAGCCTGGAAGTAAAATCAGGTGTTTGCCGAGGCCGAGGGCTAAAGCCATTCCTTCGAAACTCACATAACGAGGTATCCGCGGCGTCCATACCGGTCCGCGACGTATCCGACCACGCAGGTCACAATACACGCCACGGCGTACACCGGCACGGTTAGCAAGTTCGCGGGCGTAGCCTTGAAGCCTGTGCGCGCGAGAAGCATTGGTGAGCAAATGGCCGACATCTAAGAATAGCACCCTTCTCACCGAGCTGGTTGATAATGCTGGGCAGGAAGAGCGAGAACGCGTACAACGGCGCGTCCGCACCCGTGTAAAGCAGCACTGGCGAATTCACATCCGTGTCAGCCCCGGTCCTTCTAAGCTCACCCACACACCAGAGGGGAGTACTCACTGCCAATCCACGTCTTCCAGTCGAGCAGGCTGCGCCAGATGTAGTGCCACTTGAGGCTCTCGCCCGCGGCGCTGTACTGGTCGTCTGACTGCAACCTGCGCACGACGACGGTGCGCTCCTCCTCAGTGAGGAACTTGGCCGTGTCCGGGAAGTCCTGGATGATCCAAAACGAGAGTATGCCCGCAATGACCGTCACGAGCCCCTCGAGGATGAAGATCCACGCCCACGCGGGCTTGCCCCCGACACCGTCCATGTTCGATATCGCCGCCTGTGCAGTCGTATGTCCGTCCGTTCGCCGAAGGATGCGCCAGGCACGGGATAAATGGGGACCAAGAACATACAGGGATCGGTCAGGTTCGGCTCCGAGAAGACGTTTATCTGGGGAACCACTCACCGCGAGCAGCCCGCCGAATGCGCCGGATACCGTCGCGGCTGAAAAGAAGAGGGCAGCGCGAATGCCGAACTCGGAGCGTTTGTACCAGCTGCGGAGCATGGCCTATGATTAGTCCGCGAGAATGCCGGCAAAGGTTCGCGGACGCGACGAAGGACGCACCAAGAGAGATAGTAGTTGACGCCTGGGAAGAGGCCTGCTTCGAACGTTCCAAGCATCCAGCGCATACCTGACGGAAGAGGTCAGGCGGGGAGCTCGCGCGATCGATTGGAGCAGTGAGGGCGCACCTAGCAGTCCGCCGTAGTTGTGGACCAGACCTTGCACGGTCTGAGGGAGGTGGAGGTGAGCGCTCCAGCGGCTGCATTTGAGTGGTGATAGTTCGCTCACCATCATGATACCCCAGAGGAACATGAGGAGCGATAGCCACACTGAGGGGCGTAGTCGCTTGAGGAAGATATTCGAGGGAACCTACAGCGCATGAGCTGATTACGACACCTCCCCCGCCAGACTCGAGGCCGTGCTCACCTCGAATATCGAGTACGAAAAGAAGAAAATCGTGAGCGCAATGAGGTATTGCTGGTCCGAAAGGTGCAGGTCGGTCGTCATATGATACAGCTAGCATCCATCGTCAGTCAAACTCGAATATTCAATAAACCCCATTCTCCCCTCCCCTTCCGCCAAGCCCGCCAAGACTCGCGGAATCGCGTTACGCACCTTCGCGTTCCCGATGCTCGTCCTGTCTAGGAAACTGAGTAGGTACAACAGGGACAGCCACGGGATGAGGTAGAGGTCGATCTTGCGGATCAGCTTGCGCTCGTCGACGCCGCTGACGTCGATGTGCGCGTTGTACAGCGGCGGCTCGAGGCGTTCCGCCGCGCCGTCGACGCGCTCGACCTCGGACGCGTGTCCCTTCTCGTCGGACGAGAACGTCGACGCTGCGGGCGAGCGTGCGGGGCGCGCCGTTGTCGGCGTTGTCGCCGCGGCGACGCTCGGCTGGGCCTTCTCGGGGTCTGCTGAGGACATGGGGGAAACAGCAGGGAGGACGGCTGGCGGGGAAGCGAGCGCCGGGTGGGAGGAGGGGCGGGACTGAATGGAGAAGGGGACAGAGTCGTTCTTGTTCGGCTGCGAGCGTAGATTTATAACGGCGCTGCACACCTGCACGGGCCCCTGCTCAAGGTCTCTGGCGGGGGACGTGCGTGTGCCGGATAAGCAGCTCTGCCGGCGCACCGAAAGATGCCACTCAGACTCGAGCGCAGAACACCGCGGCCGCGGCAGTCATGGGGCTCGCGCGTCGTCCATTTTCGTCGGCTGGAATGATAGGCATCACCAGCTCGTCGCCCCTCCGCCAGGCACGCGCTCAGTCCCCGTCTCAATTTCTGCGCTGTGTGCCCGCCACCGCGCTGCGCCATGCCGGCAGCATGGGCGGCGTGTGTGGGAGGAGACTTGGACGGCTCTTGACGTGCGCGCGCGGGCCCTGCGAAACGGTTGAGAGGGACCGCCTGTGTGGCAGCGGTGGAGTGGGCGGCTTTCGAGGGGTTTCTGCAAAAGTCTCGAGAACCTTGAGGTTGGCGGACCGAGTGCGGGGTGCGGGGTAAGCTGGGGTAAGACCCGTTCGTTGACGGCATTCCAACGGACCCTCGCCCATTGGCAGCCTGACAAGTCGATCAGACCCAGCGCCTCGACAATTCTGATTACCCCGCGGGGTGCACAGCACGTAATTGTCTACCAGTGTGGGGCTTGCAGGTGGGGTATCATGGCATCACTGCGCCGAGACCGCGATCGTACTCAACGCCCGTAGCCAACATCGCCCAAAAGTAAAGTATTCTGTGGTGGGTATTGGTGCCTACAGCCATCTTCGCTCTCTGAAGCTGCCACATGGCTTTACGCCGTACATCCCTCGGGAACATTCGATGCGTTCTACACACCGTGCGGGGTGATAACACCGCAGCCCAAGAACATGACACAGCGCCGCACGGTCCGGGACATCCGGATCGAAACCTCGAAACCACGGATGACATACGAATGACATTCGTGCCGCATCTGCGACATTGGTAATACCCGTATGTCGCGAGGCTCGGCCGCCCGCACGAGGTCCTCGTCAAAGTTTGGTGGCGCACCCAGCACCCACCTGCCACTGGGCGGAAGTAGTAATCACTGTGCCTTCGCCCCCATCTTTTTCGCGTCCAACCTCTGGCGGTCCCACTCTTCTCTCCACCGGAACCACTGCGCCTCGGTCCCACTGTCTGCCCAGACGGCCCATCCGTCTCTCAGGCGGAACCATGTCGACAAGGGATTCGTGAGGAGCGCGGTGCGGAACCTCCCCAAGAGCGAGTTCGGGTTGCGGGTGGGAATGTACTCGACGGCCGTGTAGTACACGGCGCCGAACACGACGCCGATGCCGAAACCCCATAGAACTTGAGGGAGGCTGTGATATGACAGGTAGTAACTATAATGGTATGCGGTTTAGCTTAGGGCAGGCTGCGATAATGACAGCAGGACGCACCGCGAGAACGCTACCGCGGCCGCCCACGAGAAGATGAACGCGAACAAGAGAATGTCGCGCGCGTAGTCGAGTATCCGGAAGCCCGTGCTCACGAACCGATGCCGCAGCGAAAAGTGCAGGAACAGGAAGCTCGCGAAGTAGCCCATCCACTGACTGTGTGACGAAGGGAATCCGTATCCGTCGCCCAAATCAACTGAGAACGAGATGCACATCAGACGAGTCAAATACAAGAGGGAACACTGCGCCCGGCTGGTACTCACCGTTGGGACGTTCTTCTTGTATGACGTGTTTGAGCGCGTAGTTGAAGCACTCGCAGAGCATCTGCCCCGCCCACATCTCCAGAAAAAGCAGCTCGCGCGTCCATACCGAGAGCGCCGCATAGGCGGGCTGAGCGCGGTAAGCATCCGCATCCGCATTCGATCCGTCCCGCCGTGAGGATGAGAGTGGACTTACGTTCAATAGGATGGGAGTGAGTGTGAGCAGCGCCAACACATGGGATAGAAGGGAGGAGTCATTGTCTGGCCATCCTCACTGTTAATTGAGACGATGGGTACCCAGAAAACATCAATGTAGGGATTGCACTAACATAATACGTAGGTGAGGTCGAGAGCTGCGCGTGAAGCAGCTGCTGGCTCATCCGAGGACATGATCTCTCTTGGCCTCCTGTCTGTGTGGCCGTTCTCAGCTCTATCAGCAGCGTGTCGTCGCTATAGTCGCTGGATACGATGTTTCCCCAGAAAAGAAGTGAGAGTGAAGGGTTAGTCTGCGGAAGAAGCCCAGAGTATGTGCACGAGAAGTCGGTTCGAAGCGGTACAAGGTCTGCCTAGGGGAGACAAGTTCGAAGCAGTGGAGTGTGCAACCGAGTGAGCGCTGGACACGATGACGTGCGGCTCCAAAAGTTACAAGTAAAAATGCTTGTGTTTCGCTGGTCAACAGGTGGAGTAATGTTATTTAAGACACTATAGCCAAGTGGTTACGGCGATAGATTAGAATTTGTTTATTATCTATTTCCCTTTGGGAGCGTAGGTTCGAACCCTACTGGTGTCGGAATGTTTTGCTTCCGCGCCCCGAAGACGTTGCCGCGACACATGAAGCATTTGGTGCATTCTTTTGGACAGTAAGAACATTTTAGGCCAGCAATTCATCGCGCATAAGACCCAAACATCTTCCAAGCAAGAAGAGGATTTCTTTCCACAAAGTCAGCATCAATCCACTATACCCAGCGTATCCCGAGCACCCAGCACGACATTGTCAATGAGCCTCGTCTTCCCCACCCACATCGCCCCGCTCAAAATCACCGGTCTCCCCGTAACTTCCTTTTCCCAATTTCCCCTCACAACATCATCCGACATGACCTCGAAGGAATCCGCATCGTTCATCTCGACATAGTCGAGGCGCAAATCGACCGACTCGCCCTGTTCGCGCCGCTTACCCTCGACCACGGCCCCCGCGCGCCGTACGCACTCCGCCTTCGACGCGCCCGCCTCCCAAGCTTCCCGTGCCGCTTGCAGCGACGCGTAGAGCACCGGCGCCACGCTGTCGCGCTCGTGTGGAGTCAAATACGCGTTCCGCGAAGAAAGCGCCAGGGAAGTCGTGGGGTCGCTGGGTAAAGTTTAGTTCGCGCGCACGCGGGATCGCCGATTTTTTTTGGGTGTTGGACGAAGCTTACCGGGTGGTGGGGACGATGAACAGGTTTTGGGGTGAGGGGTGCGAGAGCAGGAGGTCGCGCGTCATGCGGCGGAGCAGGAGGGCCTGCTGGATGTCCTTCTGACCAAAGTATGCCCGCGTGGGCTGCACGGGCGGGTTGTGAGGCCAAACGGATATACTCGATGGGACGTCCGTTAAACACCCACCTCGATGACATTGAACAGTTTGGTGACTACGGTCGCGACCCCGCGGAAGAACGTAGGGCGAGTTTTGCCTTCCATTTGGTGCCCGTAGCCCTTGACCTCGACGAACGTGCCCTTTTGTTCTTGCGTGTTTTGTGAGATGCCGCTGGGGTACATCTCCCCCACCGTAGGCACGAACACAGCCGAGGGCGTACGGACAACGCCTTCCGGGCCAGCGACGGAAAGCGCAGATAATAGTTCAATATCCCGCGGAAGGGTGCGCGGGTACGTCGCCAGATCCTCGTGCGGCGCGAACTGAGCGGGGTTCACGAAAATCGAGAGGACCGTGAGGTCATTCTCCGCAAGTGATCGCTTTACTGCAGACCGATGTGAGTCTAGACGTAGGTGCGTGACGAGTAACTGACACGCTCACCCAACGAGAGATGTCCGTCATGCAGCGCGCCCATGGTGGGAACATACCCCACGGATTTCCTCTCCTCAGACACCGTTCGCCTCCATTCGCGGTACGACGCGACGGTGTCGAAGAGCGGGATCGACGAGGGCGGGAGCGACGAGGACATGTTTCTGAGCAATCTGAGAGCGGGTCGTCTCTTAGCCAGTATATACGCTGCCCGAGGGGGGAGCAAGAGCATCGATGCTCAGGTAGAGCTGCAAAGGAACAAGTCCGAACCGGCCGGGAGACGAGGAGCGTCGGATGATGGCCATGGTGTGGCAGCTGAGGTGGACTCGGAAGAGCAAAGTCGTCAGATCCGAGTCAGATCACCGCGTCGATCGCTCAAACGCGCTACACGTGATTCAGGCACGTAAGTATGGATCGATTCCGTGTCGCGGACGCTTGCGGACGGGACACGCAGTCAAGCTCGAGCGCGTGTGATTCAAGTTATGCCTGCGTATACACGACACACTACATGTGCATGATGTAGAAGGGGGGGCACCTCGCCCGAGTTGACTAACACTAACCCCATCGCTTGTCGTATTGCCCCACACTCTCCGCCAACGCCCACCACCGTTCCCCATCCTTCCTCGCACACACGAGTGACCATGTGCCCTCAGCGTTCTCTCTGGGCAGCCGCAACGGGGGGTTTTTACTAGCGCTCTGCGGCAAGTAAGACACGGGAGACGTCCCCACGCATTGAGCAGTCACCGCCGCGACGAACGGCGCTGATGACTCGGAAGCCAGATTCGGCGACCTGCCGGGGATGAGAGTTAGGGTGCGTCGCGGACCAACCGGTATCGACACCTGGGATACGCACGATATTTGTTCTATTATTTCTTGTATAAAGCAGGACGGTATGAGGCCGCTCCAACGTAGACAGGTGAGGTTCCCGATGTAGGACGGCTCCGGAGGCGCGTACACAGCTATGTAGGGGTCGCAGCGATCGTTTGCTGAGATCCTGCGTGAACGCGCATGTTAAAAAAGGAAGGGTCGTTGGGGTGGATATTACCTAGGGGAGCCCAGACTGGCTAAGCCGATCCATTCGAAGAGGGACGATATGCTCTCTCCCCAAGCGTCGCTCTCTTCGTCGGTTCGACCGCGCCGTACCAACATCGACGCGTCTTCCAAGTTTGGCATATGCACGTTGTCTCGTTTTTGAATGGACTGTTTCAGTTCACTCTGGATACCCTTGAGCGGCGGATTGTCTAATCCGACGTGAGCGGCCTCGTCTTTCATACTCATCCGTCGGGGAATAGCACACCTGTACCAGAGTAGTAATACACTATCTTCCAAGGTCCCCTTTTCGTGTCCCATCGCAGTATTGCGTCCGCTTCTTTGGAACCATAGGAATGGCAGGTTTTATAGCTTTGGGCCTGCGGACGAGAGGCTCGCAGTGAGATGCGAATGACTGTGCGTCTTCGTTAACCGCATGTGAGCATATCCGTATATACGATGTGCCTACCATGTTCATCGGCATGCTCTTTCCAGGGAAGAGGTTCACCGACGAGACCAAGAACCTCGTATGTTTCTTTCCCTACTACTGCTGTCAATATACCTCTCGAGTCGATGCACCAGACGTCATCGCCGACGGGGCCCCCAAGACCGAGCGCGACGATGTTGCTGTGTGATGGTGAGCCGCATGCCAGTGAGTTTCATGCCCCATAAAATACGAAGCTTGTGTGTACCTTTCGAGAGCGTTCTCATTTACGTACGACTTTGCAAATGCGAGAAAATCGCCCAGCCCGCATTCACATCTCCAGTAGGAGAAGGATGCGCGCAGCTGGACCAACGCCTCCTCCAACGCCGCGCACGCAGGGAACACGACGTCGACCTGTGCGTCGCGTTTTCACATCAGAGAAAGAGAAATGAGCACGGCGCACGCCAGGGAGAGAGCTACCTTCCTGTCGGGTGAACGGACGCGAAGACGCGAGCGTGTGCAGTTTGTCCACGCCGGCCTGAGAACTCAACGTCGACTGGGTGGGCGTGCCGCCGGTTGTGACGACCGTGCGCGTGTTTCCTGGAGAAGGCATGGGTGTGGGTACGTAGCGGTTACCAGATAATGCGGCGCAGGCTTTTGGTGGCCGTGAGGATCGGAGACGGACGATGAAGTGAATATCAAGCTGCGCGTTTTGCAAGACTGAGCCGGGGGTGTACTGCATACTCAGCATCGGACCGGAGTTGCCGATTCCGGCAGCGTCAACGACACGGCCATGACTTGCGGCTTATGGCACGGCTCGTCTTCCCTCCACCATCCTCGAGCTATGGTCTGCAAGAAATGCGAAAGTGTACGTTGCTTCTCATTCTATGCCTGTCTCTGGCACTAACTCTATACCACAGAAAACTTCGAAACTTGCCGCACCCGATCCGTTCAAGTCGACGTCGCAGGCCATCAAGGACGGTTCGCGGAAGGTCGGGGAGAACAAGCTGCTTGGGCGACCGGGGAGTTCAAAGAATCGGTTCCAGGTACTCATGCAAATTGTTCTCTTTGTTCCTATGTGCATCACTGATGGTCTTTCTTTCGTAGCCATACCAAGGTAAATGTAAGGACTGCAAGTCAACAGTGACGCAGAACAAGGCCAAATACTGTCATGGTGCGCCCCTGCGCCTCTTCTCTTTTGCAGGTGTATTGACTGCGTGGCCCGGCAGGTTGTGCATACAAACGTGGTGTATGCGCGATATGCGGCAAGCAGGTGCTCGACACGAGTGGCTACGTAATGTCCGCGAAGTGATTGCCCGGTTTGAAGGTGTTGTCTCTCGTTTACCTGTAGCTGTGACGGATTACATGGACTTCCTAGACGTGTACGCTAATGCTCGTATGTCATGTATCCCTGTAAGGCTTGGTTAGATCATGGCTATACGAGGCGTACGTGTAGCGTTATTGGGAACGGTCGTTTTGGGGGTAGTGTCAGAAGCCGCGATAGATCATAGTACTACTAGTACCCCTTGGTCGGGTTGGCGAGCTCCGCGCTGACATAGATCCCGTGTCTCCTACTTCACTTATCTGACGCTGAATCAGCCGTTGCGATGTCTTCGAAACAGGATGCTCATAGCGTACTACAACTTCCCTACGCAACATTTATGATGTACTTCGAGATGAACCAAGTCTCAGGCCCCTTCACGAGTGAGCAACGAGAGTATATACCCTAGCGCGGGATCCGACTGCCCTGCATCGCGCATTTCCTCCACAAACTCATTCCAAACCTTCTCCGGTTCATCCGCCTCGTCCTTAGCGGCCTGAGCTGCATCCTTTGAGCGGCCTTTCGTACCAATGTCATTAGGGCTCTTGTGGGATCTCCGCGCGACTTGCGTCTTATCGAGGTATTGTATTAGCCCTGCTGCAATTCTGGCTTCTACGACCCAGGTGGAAGTCGGATCGACGCCTTCCCAACCCACTTCCGCGAGGAGAACGTTCTTGCCCATGCGGCAAAGACGCATGTCGCCCAAGGTCCACTCATGGTACAACTGGGGTAGTGGGTCGAGCCTTTTACCATCCTTGTAGCAGCATATTACCCAGATGAAGATCCAGAAGAAGGCTTCGAGGTCATGGCGATAGAGGTGTTTGACCTTACCGACGAGCGCAGCCTCTCTAAGAAGGTCGATTGCCATGAAAGGAATGGTGCCGGTGACTTCAAAGCCTGTGCACGTCTGAGGTTCGTAGGCGTCGATGGCGAGATCCCAATCGTTCAAGACAGCACAAATTGTGTCGTCATCGCGGGCCCGACGCATGAGGTTGTTCAGGCTCAGATCCTGGTGATGAATGC